ATGGGGGACAGCATTCCCCTTGGCCTGCCCAAGCCACTCTTGGCCTGAAGGAAGATCCACTCACCCAGCGCCCTGGGGCTGCCACCCCGGAGCACAACAGAACCCACAGGCAGCAGGAACTAGAATTAGGGTTTTGGAGGCACTGCCCATCTGAACAGGTAGGACCCGGGTCCATTTGGTTTTGTAGCCCACCTGACTTCCCCTTCGAGGCCTAAGCGGGTGGAAGAGAGGCTTGATCACCCTCTGTTGGGTCCCGAGTACCCTCCAAAGTGGTTGGAGCTGATTCCCCCGGACCTGGGGAGTCGCCTGAGAAGCCTCTGTTTGGGGTCAGCAAGCAGAGGGGAAACCATGACTCCCCTTTCTGTTTGGTTTGGAATTGTAGGAATTTGGGCGGTATGGAAATTCTGTCCTGGCCATGTCTGTGTGAAAGTGTGTGAATAAAACGGACAAAGGGAAGGGTTCCGACCCAACCTGAGTGCAGAAGGGAGTGCAGAGTCCTGATCCGCAGTTCCGTGTCACCTCACACAGTCTATGGCAGAATTTCACCAACCAATGTCTAGGTGAAAGCTCCAGGTCAGGGGCTGATACCGACCTGCAAGGCTAAGAGGGCCTTAAATCCCCGCGAGGGAAGTGGCCGGAGATGAATGAAGCAAGTCTTGTCCTAAGTGTGTTTTGTTCTAAGTGTGCGACACTTGTGTTCTAAGGGTGGAACATGGGAGGCACACTAAGGAAACTGAGCCTTCTGAAATGTGTGTTAGAAACCTTTAGGAAGGTTTTCCTGGTAACTGTGGGGTGAGACTCACTTCTCAAAGGTGGCATACTCTGTGAATTAGAGTGGCTCACCCAAGATGTGGACTGGCCACCAGAAGGATCTTTAGATGAGAGTCATTGCTGAGGTCCTTTGATTGTTGTTGGAACCCCTGAACCATTTCTCTTATATTGATTGCTATCAAGAGATAGTACAGAAACAGTCCCCTTGGTTGAGAGCCTGTCTAGATGGACAGTCCAAGCTGATGTTAGCCAGGAGCATAGTGGTCTCTAAGACCCAGTGGAAAGCAGCTAAACAGAAAACCTGACTAGGAAAGACAGGAAAGAAAACAGTATTCCCCGTGAGCCAGAAGAGGACCCATGACCAATTTTGCCAAGACCACTGGGACAGCAGACTGTCCTCTCAGTCCCCTTGTCCTCAGAGGCAACAAATGATGGCCCCCCAATACTGGCTATTCCTTCCTCTGTGATGTCCTCAGAGCCAAAGGCTTCCTAGGACCAAAGACTCTTTCACCTCCCAAGATGAAGGTGGGAGATTTGTCCCGAGACCACAGGCACAACCTACAGATAAAAACTCTCCAGATGCCCCTGCAAGGGACTAAAGGACCTGCCCATATGAACCAGGAACATATTCATGTTAACAGCCAATAGTGGGCCATAGGGTGCTCACTCCAAAAGGTCATGCCACCCTGGCTCCAAGCCACACTCTGTGAGCCGCCAGCAGGAAGGGCCACAGAGCCCCATGCACCCAGGCATACTGAACAAGAACACAAGCGGGGCAGCTACTATATACAATTAGAGCAGGCTCCCACCTGACAGGAGGAGAAAGCCACACAGACAAAGAGCAACACCTAGGGGGGCACAATGTGGCTGCCACACCAGGACCTGCACGGGACCACACCACTGCCCTCCAACCTTGACAGACAGCCCACGGCGAGGTTGACATAGGTGCCTTTTACACAAATGATGTCCCAGGTCATCAGCCTCTGCTAAGATTTAAGAGTTGGAGAATCCTAGCAGCCAAGATCCTGCACTGGGAGATAACAAAAAAATTCCTGCATCTTAAAGC